GGAAATTCTGTTTCTTTGTTACTAATGTTGTGGCCCCACCCCATAACAAAGAAACAGAATTTCTGGAGGATGAGGCCCAGAAATCAGGATTTTAAAAAGATTCCCAGGTGATTCTAATGTGCAGCCAACGTTGAGAACCACTGCTTTAGATCATTTGTATTATGTATGTTCTATAACTGAACCTGAGTCAAGATATATAGCAATGTACTTTTATCTCAGATTTCATTAAAGTAAACATCCTTTAATGTAATTATGCAAATAACTGATAAATAAGCAATAAAAATATTAAGACTATGTAATAGAACAAATGTTGAATTAGAATACATCTCACTTAATTTAGCCATATTACCAATTTTATGTGATCATTTGCCGGGAGCCGGTCTATCCTTGCTGCTTGACACAGTCGCTGCAGGGAAGAAACATCTGCACAGCATATGTTTCAAGGGACCTGGCGTATATGGCATACTGTTCTTAATATGTTTGCTCCCCCTCTTAGCACTATGTGTTTTAAACAAGACCACCTCCCCGAGAAAGGTTGTTTCCCCAGGTGAGAATTTTTTCCCTGGAGTTAAGGATTAACAGGACTAAGGAAGAGAATAAATCAGTGAAACCCCCTAGTGTTACAGAAATACCATGTACTACTTATGAAGAACTTGGACTAAGACTGTTGGCAATAAATTTGGGACTTGTTGGGCCCACATCCTCAGGGGTCTGCCCACCAGGAAAAGCACCAAAGCCTATACCCCTGGAGACCCACTGACACAGGGCAGTCCCAGGGAAGGCAAGCAGCGAGGCTGGAAGGACATAACCTTTACTGGGTAGGATAATTTCCTTCAGTCACTTCCTTCTAGCTTATCAGTAGAGCAGTGACCTTGGAATAGCCCTTATAATGGAACACAGAGATTAACCTAGACAGGATTAAACTCAACAGAACTAGATTAACAAACGCCCTAACCTTTGGAATAGAATGGATAGGATTAAAATCAACTGGTATAAATACAGATGTAACAGGACAATAAAGACAGAACCTGGCTGGAGAACCTGACTAGAGAACCTGGCCAGGCTGCTGATCAACTGAACGCTGTCTCCCTGTCATTCCTTCTTCGCCGACTCCGTCCACACCTTTGGGGACCCCTGGACCTGCTGGGGTTGGACCCCAACACCACAGAGGTTACACTCTGGGATCCTGGCCATGAGGTTGATGCCTCACCTTGCTGAGAAGAGACACTGGACCTCAATGGTGCAGCATGACTTTGTTCCTGCTTGGTTAAATTTTTCAATACCACAGGCAGGTAAGTCACCTACAGCCACCTTTGAAAAACACGGAGAGCACCTACCCCGAGGAGATGGTAGATTTGGAGTAAGCCGTCATCAACATAATTCCTCTGATGGCTTTTTTAACAATAGACTTCTACGAACTACAGGAGATTCCTGGCACCAGCCCTCCCTGTTTCTCCATGATTCTGTGGACTCGGGTGTCTCTAAGGGAACATATGCTGGAATCACAGGAAACCTATCTGGTTGGCATGGCTCTTCCCGTGGTCATGATGGCATGAACCAGCGTAGTGGGGGTGGCGCAGGAAACCATCGCCACTGGAATGGGAGCTTTCACTCCAGAAAAGGCTGTGCCTTTCAGGAAAAGCCACCTGCAGAGATTATGGAAGAAAGGAAAGAAGACAAGGTGGAAAAGTTGCAGTTTGAAGAGGAAGACTTCCCTTCCTTGAATCCAGAAGCTGGCAAACAGAATCAGCCATGCAGACCTATTGGGACCCCTTCTGGAGTGTGGGAAAACCCACCTGGTGCCAAACAACCCTCCAAAATGCTAGCTATCAAAAAAGTTTCCAAAGAAGATCCTGCTGCTGCCTTCTCTGCTGCATTCACCTCACCAGGATCTCACTATGCAAATGGGAACAAATCATCCAACATGGTTCCAAGTGTCTATAAGAACCTGGTTCCTAAGCCTGCACCGCCTCCTTCCAAGCCCCGTGCATGGAAAGCTAACAGAATGGAACACAAATCAGGATCCCTTTCCTCTCGCCGGGAGTCTGCTTTTACCCGTCCAATCTCTGTTACCAAACCAGTAGTGCTGGCCGGTGGTGCAGTTTTAAGCTCTCCCAAAGAGAGTCCCTCCAGCACCACTCCTCCCATTGAGATCAGCTCTTCTCGTCTGACCAAGCTGACCCGCCGAACCACCGACAGGAAAAGGAAGTTTCTGAAGACTCTGAAGGTTGACCGGAATGGAGACTTCTCAGAGAACAGAGGCTGTGACAAGCTGGAGGATTTGGAGGACAACAGCACGCCTGAGCCAAAGGAAAATGGAGAGGAAGGCTGTCATCAGCATGGTCTCCCTCTCCCTGTAGAGGAGGGAGGGGAGGTCCTCTCACACTCACTGGAGGCAGAGCACAGGTTATTGAAAGCAATGGGATGGCGGGAGTATCCTGAAAATGATGAGAATTACCTTCCCCTCACAGAGGATGAGCTTAAAGAGTTCCATATGAAGACAGAGCAGCTGAGAAGAAATGGCTTTGGGAAGAATGGCTTCTTGCAAAGCCGCACTTCTAGCCTGTTCTCCCCTTGGAGAAGCACGTGCAAAGCAGAGTTTGAGGATTCAGACACAGAAACCAGTAGCAGTGAAACATCAGATGACGATGCCTGGAAGTAGGCACATAAATGTTCACAGTTAAATCTGACCCATAAACTCAGCTTGTGTGCTTACGGAGAATACAAAAAAAATCTTTTCCTTTTCTTATGTTGTTGTTGAATATTTCATGCCCAAGGGAAATAATCATATCCCAAAGAGAGAGCGATTGGCTTGTTTAGTTTTTGTTGTTTTTCTTTCCTGTTATTTGCTTAGTAGAGAAAATTTGTGTGGTGAGAAATATTTTTAAAATACACACACAGTATATATGGGGCGATGCACAAGTGGGAGCTGACAGTGCAGAGAGGAGGAGACACTGGTCTGCAGCAATAGCTTCCACCAGCCCTTGGGGCACTCACCCCTGTGCTCAAGCAATCATTGTCAATGACAAAGTGACTACTGAAGTTATAATTGTATTAAATAATGCTAATAATTTGGATATTTTATTTTATTTTGGCTGCTCGGGTAATGTTAGCCCTTAACCAAGCATACGTGGGGGGTTTGTTTGTTTGTTTGTTTCTTTTTTTTTCTTTTTGGGTACAGCTGTAAAATATTTGGATATAGGAAATGTGTTATTCTTGCAGCCTTGATATTCAGGGTGGATTGTAAAATATAAATTTTTGTGAGATTTCAAAGATTAAGATTATTTTGATAACATTATTTACAGATTTAAAAGATGTGGTTATCACAAGTCTTGAGGGGGAAACTACTGCATAAAATAACTAACTTGGAATAAATATTTTGCATCAGTTTGGGAAAAAAAAGCAGGGCCGTGAGGTGACCTGCCTTATAAACATGCACACCCATGTTTATGGCAGCATTATTAATAATAGCTGTTAGGGTCACTGAAGGAGGAACGGACAAGGCCAAAGGGCGTAAAGAATTATGAATTTATTAGGTCATCTGGAAAACCAGATGGGCTGAACCCAAGATGGCACCAGCAGCCAGGGACAGGGAATCAGAAAAAGCCACTTTAGGGTGAGATTTTTCTGGGCAGAGAATTCTCTGGGCAGATCCGGAGGGGAAAGATAATGGTCTTAGCAAGTGGAATGTGGTCTTAGCAAGTAGAATGTGGTCTAAGTGAAAGAGAATGTCGATTGTGAAGTATCTAAAGGTCAGTTCCCAGGGGCAGGGTTGTCCATTCAATTATTTGATCAGACCTAATATTAGCCAAGAAATGGAAGCCAAGTGTTCATCGAGGGATGAATGGATAAACAAAATGTGGTATATACCTACACTGGAATATTACCCAACCTTAAAAAGGAAGGAAATTCTGATACATGCTACACCAAGGATGAAACTTGAGGACACTATGCTAAGTGAAATAAGCCAGTTACAAAAAGACAAATATTGTATGATTTGGTTCATATAAGTTATCTACAGGAGCCAAATTCACAGAGGCCGAAAGTAGAATTCTGGTTGCCAGGGGCTAAGGGTAGAGGAGAATGGAGAATTGTTGTTTAATGGGTACAGAGTTTTAGTTTGGTGCTGGAAGCCGGTCCATTCTTGCTGCTTGACACAGTTGCTGCAGGGAAGAAACATCTGCACAGCATATGTCTCAAGGGACCTGGCGTATATGGCATATTGTTCTTAATATGTTTGCTCCCCTTCTTGGCGCTATGTGTTTTAACCAAGGTCACCTCTCCAAGAAAGGTTGTTTCCCCAGGTAGGGATTTTTCCCTGAAGTTAGGGAGGGAATAAAACCCCTTAACTAAGTGCCAGGCGGGTAGTTAATCACTTTAACTAAGAACAATCACGCTTAAGCTACATAATCTTTACTCCCTGGAATGGAGATAAGAAACGCCCTAACCTTTGGAATAGAGATTGATAGGATTAAAATCAACTGGTATAAATACAGATGTAACAAGACAACAGAACACAGAACCTAGAGACAGAACCTAGCGAGACAACATGGCTAAAGATCCTGGACAGAACCTGGCTGGAGAACCTGGAGAACCTGGCTGGAGAACCTAGTAAGAGAACCTGGCTACAGAACTTGGTTGGAGATCCTGCCTAGAGAACCTGGCTAGGCTGCTGATCAACTGAACGCTGTCTCCGTGTCATTCCTTCTTCGCCAACTCCATCCACACCTTTGGGAACCCCTGGACCTGCTGGGGTAGGACCCCAACAGTTTGGGAGGATAAAAAGTTCTGGAGAATGATGATTGTGATCGTTGCACAACAATGGGAATGTACTTAATGCCACTGAACTGTACACCCAAAAATGGTTACATAAAATTTTATCTGTTGTACAACAATGTGACTATACTTAACACAACTAAACGGTACACTTTAAAATGGTAAGATGATAAATCCAACGTAATGTGTGTTTTTTTCCACACACACAAAAATGATAATCTGATGAAAGTTATGCACCTTCATCCCAGAGAATTGCATGGGAAAATTAATTATGTTATGTGTATTTTACCCCAATAAAAGATAATTTGAAAAATAGATTTCTAAGTTTGATTGTTACATGTCACTCTTGACATAAAATAACAGAGAAGGATTTTCAGTGATTTAGAGTTTGATGGCAGGAGCCACATGGTCCTGCTCATCGCAGCCAAGTTTTTAAATAATGGTTGGTGGTCAGAGTGGTTCAAATAGGACATGTGGTTGCGTGGTGTCACCTTATGCTCTCCAGATCAGAGAGATCAACAGCAGAGTAAAGCAGAAAAGCCCATGGCCACCACTGTCTAGGTGGATGGTGGACTCTGAGGTCAAGAGTTTATATCCCAATCGTGTCCTTATTGTGTTTCGTGATCCGAATGTTCCCTTGAGCTCCTGTTGCATCTTAGTTGAGGCTGCTCCTGCAAGTTGACTTTTGATAAAATGAAGTAAGTGACTCTAAGCAAAATTAGATGTCATGTGAATTCAAAGCAAAGTATGAAAGAATAGAGGCCTTTGGATGCTGTAATGCCTTATCCTTCTTTTGACATTTAGGTCACCAGGCCAGAGGTGTCATAGATTATTTGTAAAAGAAAGTTATGATTACTGGTGAAGACTACTTGGCAGTAAGAAAACACAATAATGATGATTTGCTTTAAGCCTTTTCCCTCCAGGGCTAGCGAATGCAACAATTTCTTTTCACAATATACTGAGAAACTAGGGAGGAAGGGGGATTATTATCTCCACTTTATAGAAAGTGAAACTGAGGCACAGAAAAATAATTTGAGTTTGAGGGTAGGGTAAGAAACAGGCCCCTAGTTTCCTGATTTCAGGGCCTCCTAGCTAGAAATAGCTTGCCTTCTGTTCTGTTGATCTCGCTCAACAAAGCTTTTCCCCAAAGTCTCCAGATGGTTGGCTCCCTCCATAAGCTTTCTAGGCAGAGAAACCATACAAGGAGATTTGGACTTCCAGGTACCTCCTGGGGTGAGCGAATAGGTGGAGGACCATCACATAAGTTCGCCTTTGGTTGGAGAATCTCAGTTTCTTTGCCTGCCACATTTTATTGTTTCTAACTTCATTTGAGCAGAAAAACAAAAAGGCAAAGAGAGAGATTGTAATTCCAGTAAGCTCCATTTTCTTGGCTTGGTCCACAAGCCCCAGTTAAGTGCCACCCTGAATAAGTGTCTCCTCTGTGTTCAGGGAGAAACCACCCCCTGACCCAGAGATGAGTTTCACAACATGCAGATGGAGGGTTTCAGAAATCCTCAGCTGGAGCAGCTAAATAAGAGGGAGACAACACAATCCCACGGACAAAGGTCAGACCTATTTTAATCTCTGAGTGAGGCTATTACTCTGGGACAAGGCCCTTCTTGTCTGATTCTCTATTTTCAGTGATTCACAAGCCTAAACTGCTTTCATCAGGGAGTGCGAAGCCACATCCCTCTTGCAGATTTGTTTGTGAGTTAAAATAGTTCTCATTTTCAATCTTCTTGGAGTGTCTTCTGACAGACATAAAATTCCACAGGCTGTGAGCCTAGAGGAGTGTCCTGCAGGAAGTCAGGGAGGCTTGGAATGAAAGTCCCTGAGGAGGATCCTGAGTGTAGCAGGAAGTGGGTTTGCCGGGGCTTGGATGGCCCCACAGAGGCTCTGAGCCAATGGGTCAGTTGGGGGTTGGGGGAGGGGCAGGGGCTGACTCCTCCCGGAGGTGACAGTGCTAGAAGGCTTCTGCACCACTGTCCTGTAGGCTTGTCCTGTGCCTGCTGAAGTGCATGCATTGTGCCAGCGTTTCAGTCTAGATCCCATGCAGCTAGGATGATAGACACACCCTTAGTGGCTTGATGACACAGGCCTCAAATTCCATAATTACAGGTCTGTTTGGAGTGATCACCCTCATATTTCTGGGTTATTTCTCCAAAGTGAATGCTGCAATATAAAAGCCTGGTTATGCAGTTTTCACATATTCTGTGGTTTTTAAATTTGCTACTTCTCTCCTTTTTCTTAGAACTTCATCTATTGTGGAAACGTCTCAAATCACTGTTTTTGAATTGTTTAAGACCTCAGTTTGGTTCTAGAGTGTCATTTAGGATTGCTGTTTCCTTGTTGATTTTTTGTCTGGAAGATTTGTCCAGTGATGTCAGTGGGGTGTTAAAGTCCCCTACTATGATTGCAAATAAAAATAAAAATAATAATAATAATAATAATAATACAATAAGACCTCAGTTTGGTGCAGATAGAGCAAAGGTTGAGAAATGTAGCCTAAGCTAGCCTTCAGGGACTCTGCTTAGAGCAATAATAAGGATAAGTTACTGTTTATTGACTCCTAGCCAGGCACTGTGCAAATACTTTACATATATTATCTAATCTAATCTATATAATAATCCTGCGAGATCATTTTACAGAAAAAAAACAAGCAAACAAACAAACAAGGTTTAGGGAAGTTAGATAATTTTCCCTAAGGTACACAGTGGATAGAACTAAGATTCCATCTCAGATCTTCACAACACTATAGGCAATATAGCAATTTTACTGAGACTTTGGAAATAATATTGGACCTTCACTAATGCCATGGTCTTTGTGGATATCATAAAATTAAATATTTTCTAAATGTTCTTCTCTCTCTCTCTTTCTTTTTAAAGAAAATGCCCCTGAAGCCAGTGAGAAACTCGGGTAAGTTGCCCTTTTCATTTGTTTATAAGAGGAAATGTGAACTTTGTGATTGT